GGCCCATGTGCTTATCGAAATTATACTGTTCCTAATATTACTACTTCCTTAGGTTTTATAACAATTTTCAGTTCATAATATTTTCAGCTCTTGATAACTGGAGAAATAGATGTGTGGTCAGGAGCACTCGTTGCTCTTGCAGAGGACCCAGGTTCAGGTTCTAGTACCCACATGGCAGTTCACAACTATCTTTAACTCTGGCTCCAGGGATCCAGTGCCATCTTCAGACCTCCTTAACCACCAAGCACATATGTGCATATACACACTTTCAGGCAAAACACTCATTCACATAACATAAAAATAAAAACAGCTTTAAAAAAATTTTTAAGTACTGGAACATTTACCAACTCTCCTTGCTCTCCTCATTGAATCAGTAATCACTGTTCTTAAAATGTCTTAATTTCAACATTGTGTGAGAAGACATGTAATCTACTAAATGTAGGGATGGTCTGCAGCCACTAGCACCCTGGTTGTACTGACTCTCTTTACATCTATTTCAGAGATGAGTGTATTTGACACCCACATTTGTCGCTGCTGCAAAGTCAGAAACACTCTGTTCACTCGGAATTTTTATTTTCCTTCCTTTGAAAGGATTCCAACAGGAACTGGAATGATGCTACAAAAGGGAAATGCTCATGGCCCAGAAGGCAGAACCATCAAGAACCCAAGGGGAAAACCAAGCCGCCTGGCTTCAGTCACTCACATCAACGTTTCTAACAGCCATGCCTTTAAAAGATGATCCCTATCCACTTTTTAAACTAAGAGTACACTTGCTCTCCACACAAACCGCCTCAGAGGGTGAAGGGCAGATCTCGGGCAATTTATGAGCTCTATTTTCTCATCTGCCTGTCTGTAGTTAAAACCTGCATATGCCAGAAAGGTATGAACTGCAGTCCTTCAAATGCAAACAACCTGCTCAGAAAGGTAGGGTAGCAGCAGCTTGAAGCGACTCAAATGAGAACCGTCAAGCACACTTAGTCCAAGCCAGAGGGCTTACATAGCACACTCAGAATGGGCGTTCTGGCGGATACTGCACTTCAGAGAAAGTGGAGTAGGCGAAACAGCTTTGAGTTTGGATTTAGCCAGCAGTTCAAGAAAACTGAGCCCTGGGTAACAAAAGCACCCCAGCAATCTCCCCCACTCCACCCACTCAAACACACTTATATACACAGAGACAAAGAGAGGTGGATTGCAATGCTCCTTGTCATAGTTCTCATAAAAAGAGCAGTGAGAAAGAATATTATCCTGCCTTAAGGTAGACTGTATTTGGCAACTAGGAAGTGACACAGCCCACTTTCCTGGAAACCTTCCAATCCTCAACTACTTGCCATACCTAGTTTTTAATACCAGTTAGGATAAGGGTAAAAGAGAACTTAGCCCCAGCCCCTGTACAGCAAATATCAACAATTCTGGGCCAAATCCATTCAGCCACACAAGACTGTGATGTGACAAAAAAAAAAAAAAAAAAAAAACAGGTGCAAAGAAGTTGAGTTTCCTGGGATTTCTCACCTTACAGCACCACACACTTAAGTAGATTTCATCAATTTACGAAACAGTGTTAGGTCAAATAAAAAGCACACACAGAACTTAAAAAACAGTGACAAGTCATACAGGTCACTACCAAGCTGCAAGAATAGCTAGAGTTTGGCTAGAGAAGGTCAAGCAGTATCCACGGTAACAAAATCAACAAAAAAGATACAGAAAAAGAAGAAACTTACATTGTGGAAGGAAAGCTCTCAAACTAGAGGGGTGGGGGCGGGGGAGCCAATTCTTACCAGGCTTAAAGAACGAACCTGGGAATATACTGCTCTGGTCACCAGGGATCCTATTCCTACAAAGGTACCTGCCAAATCAAACAGTTACTGACACCCTGTATGTCACTGGAAAGGACAAACCAGGAGCACCTTGTCTTGCTAGAAATAGTAATAGATGAGTCACTCTTCAGTTTAGTGTGCTCGTAACCCTCCAGGTCAACAAACATTTTCCTCCCATTTCCATCACTTATCAGTTTAATTCCCAAACTTGTGGCCTTGGATCAGAATATTTGGGGGTGGGGCGGGATGGTGGTGGTAAGAATTCAAGGCATTTAGTTGGTCAAAGAGATTATTATGTTACCTGGAAGAGTAAACTAAGTATCTAGTTAACAACTAGCAAAGAGTTAAGCAGAAGCTCCCTCTCTGACTGCTTGGTATCTTTCAGAGCTTTTACAGTAAGAGGCAAGTAGCTCCCTGGAGAGAGAAGAAAGAGGATTTAGGAAAGGCAACAGGTAGTAAAATATCTCGTTACATGAACACCGACAGTAGAAGTAATCAGCACTTCCAATATGCTGTCCTACAGGTGTAAGAAAAGGGATATCAGGAACCTTGGGGCACAGAAAATGGCGAAAGATTGGCTGGGGAAATGGTTATTTTTTCAAGTGTATAAAATGCAATTAAATTACTCATAAACTTATTGTACTTGAAATCTAACTTGCTCAAGAGGCAGGCTTAATCACCATCTCGGGTCATGAAGGGCATAGAGAGAAGTTCTAACCCTCTGAAGTGATAAGCAACAGGGCAAAAAGAAACAAGTTCTGTGGAATACGGAAGCCAATTACCGCATGCCCCAATGACCACAGGACCTAGGCAGGAACCCATTCCCGTAATCACAAGGACAAACGTCCAAAGGAGGAGGAAAGACAAGACTCAAGTCAGGTAACATTCCTGAGGGGAAGCATTACCGGGTGACACCAGGCTGAGGGCCCTGGAAAGGGACGGGGCGGGAGGAAAGTTAGCAGGTGAAAGGGATTACTAGTGAGGGAGGAAACGGCCTTTTAAATAATGAGAATACCCTGAAGTGGCTATGAGTGAGAAGAGAATATGGGCTCAGAACAGCTTACAGGGGACCCAAAAATTTAAAAATAAATAAATAAAAATAAAAAGATGTGTGGTAGGTACGAGAGGCAGAAGAAAGGAAGTGGGGCTGAGAGCCCGCGGGGCCACGGGGCTGGGAGCGTAGAGCCCTCGGACTGAAGAGCGAGGGAAGCTCCAAGGTGGCCGAGGCGAGGGCCAGGTGAGACTCCCCGGCTGTCCGAGGTCCCGGAGGGGCAGAACGTGGGACCGCGGAGCCCAGGACCCAGCGAAACCAGGAAAAGAGGCGCGGGGGCGGCTCCCCAGCAGCAGGCAGCCGACTCCGGAGGGCAGTGAGGGTCGCCCGGAGTCCAGAGGGCGGCCACCCCGCCAGGCTGAGAGCAGGGTGGGAGGGACACTCACAAATTTCTTAGGTTTGCCGCCGTCGCCGCCCGTCGCAGGCAGCTCCTCCGGGCTCCGACCCTTCTTCTTGTCCCGGGTCCCGCGGCCGGGCCCTAGGCCCCCGCCGGACGGCTCCATGTCTTGGTTAGCGCCGGCCAGTGACCCCTTGTCTACGCCGCCCGCGCCGGGCTGCCCCGAGCCAGCAACCACCGCCGCCGCCCAGCAGCCTTCTTAGCCGGCCGCCGCGCCCCGCCTCATTAACATGCTGGGCTGCGCGCGCCTCATGAATATACAACGGTGACGCCTCGCTCCCGCCCGCCTGCCCCACTTCCGCCCGGACCCGCAGCTCCTACCAATGGGGGAAGGGAGGGGGGGTGGAGGGACGCCGCGGAAGCGCGCTACCTGCCCGGCGGGCCTAACCATTCGGACCCACGTGGGGGGGAACAGAGAACAGAGTGGGCGGCGCTGCTCTGCCAGACCGCAGCGGGGTGTTTCGCCCCCTGGCGGTTGGAACAGAGGAAGCCTTTAGGCTCCCACGCAGAACCCACGTGGCTGTAAAGCCAGACCACCTCACACCCCAGCCAGAATTTTATTGTCTGAGACAACACTCTTATCGTAGAGACGCTGTTATCTTGAACATTTAAGCCTAGGTTTTGTGGGATGATGTGGATTTTATGTAGATGATATCCATGCAGTAAGTACATCAAAAAAATATTGTAAAAACTGAGTTACCTGATATAGAAAACTATGTGCCAAGAACTGAGTTTGAGCCAGCACCAATCTAGACCAGCTATGGAGTTACATTGCCCAGCTCTGAATCCTAGGTTAGCTTTCTAATTGTTTTTTACATGAACAAACCAATTCTTGCCAATAGCCTAAGCAGCAATTAAATAGTTACTACTTGTTGAACACTATAGGCCAGGCTATATGTTAAACGTGACACATCTTTCCTCACTATGTCCTGAGAGTCTACTGGTATCGCCATTTAAGAAATTTGAACTCTGGGAGTTGAAGTGACTTGTAACCTAATTGATGGAAAATTTACACACAGATCAACCATGTTTAACCAAGATTCCCCATGGGCATAAACTCATGCCAGCATGAGTTTTCTGAGTATGGCCTTTACATAATCTTCTCCCTCAGCAACTTCACTCTCCTGGCTACATCTACCCAATAGGGCCTTTGAGGGATAGACTGGATAATCCTAAGGACTGAAGGAAAGTGTGTATTACCGAGGACAGGATCAGTAACTTTTCGGAACCTCCAGCACATAGATGGACTCCAAGGACTCTACTGACTCCTAAATCTGGCTTTCACCTTGTTGCCAGTTGCGAAGTTGCATAGAGCTGTCCAGCTCTCACTGCAGGCTGCTCAGAATTCCAAGGCTACTTTCAAGCTAGAGTGAAGAGACAGTGTGAGAGATTTCCTGTCAGGCCTCCTTGCACCACTGTCAACACCTACATTTACCATGCCCCTGACTGTAAACTCCTCTAGAAAAGGGTCTGTGTTTGTGGTACACACGTGATCCAGCCCTGTTGCTCAGTCAGCTCATGAGCAGTTTCTTACATCAAGCACAGCCAAGCACTTGCGTTGTATCTTTACCAGCTATCATCTTCATCTCAAACACCCGCGCTCATGTGCCTAACGCCGTGTTTTATACCTTCTGGCCACTAACTTGGCCAGGTTAATCTAACTCTTCGGTGAAAATGTTCTATTAACTCCCCATTCGAGTAAAATAACCCATGGAGAATACACACACAGGGCCTAAGATAAAGTACTGAACGAATGGCAACAATTTTATTACACACATCATCATCTCTATTTCCTTTTCCCATCATGCATAGGTAGGTAGGAAGAATTAAAATTACCAGAAAGGTACAAAAAATACCAATTGGTTTATTAGATTAAAAATGGTGGTAAAATGGACACAAAGCCAGTTAGAGCGGCGTCTCTTCACACCCTCCCCTACTTACAATTGTACTGCATCTGCAATTAAGGTTTCAGAGAGACAGGCCCTCCTCCCCCTCACCGTTCACACTGCATGGAAGCAAGAAGTACAGCAGGGCAACCAAGGAGGAAATCAGAGGTGACTTCCTAATTGATGGAAAATTTATACACAGTACTGTCAAAACTTTCATCTCTAGAAGTCTCTGAGTTGGAAAGATGGAAGGAACAAATAAGGGGCCAGAGGGGCCGGGGACCACCTCTAGGACTCATCACCCATAATGTTCCAAAAACCTTTGTCCCTGTCTCATCCCTAGCAGGGACCATCATCAGGCTATGACAGTTTGAGGAAAAGGGGTAGATGATTCTAGAACCACATGTGGTTTCCAAACCCTTCACCAGAGTTAGTAAAGGGCCCTGGAGGTATCCAGTTCAGGACTCAGGGAGCCATATTTTCCTTTCCGCCCAAGAGGTAAAAAGGAATTCCTGGGGACACAGCATCCATCTGCTCTCAAATCTCCACATCACTTTCCTTGTCATTGTCATGGTCTCCATCATAGAATTCATTGGGTGCCTCTGGCCTGAAAAGCAAGGGACAAGAAATTAGGAGCCCACTCTTCAAATTCCAGGCTCCTCCCAGAGCCCTCCTCGGAATACCTTCTATGGTATTCTTCAAAGCCAGTTCCTCTGCTCTTGCTAGCAGGGACTTATTGCAACTCATATATCCAATAAAAGGAGACTTCCATGTGCCAGGCATTGCCACAGGCCTTATCAAAACAGCAGAGCATCAGCCAGGCAAGGTTACCATACAACCTCTCAGAGTTTACCTCATGAGACCAGCAATAACAAGGCAGATGAATGAATACAATAATTTCAAATGGTGGAGTTTTACGTGACTGAGTCTGGTATAAGCAAGAGGGTGGCATGTGACCTACAAAGTGGGAGAGCACTCTGAGGGGGAAAGACCTGAATTCCATGAAGCTGGCTTCATGAAATTCATGAAAGATCTCAGGAAGGTCCCTCCAAGCCACAAGAAAACCAAGTACAGAAATCACAAGGTCCAAAGGAAGCAAGCCATTCTAAAACAACAAGCAGGCCAGGACAGCTGGGGGTCATGTGAGCAGAAAAGTGTAGTTTCAGAAGATGAGGTAAAGATCTGTGTGCAGGTCATTTTCAAGCTGTTGCTTCTAAGTTCGAGGAGAAGGAAGGGTATGAGCTGAGACTGACAAAGGGAAAGGTACAACTGGACGATAAGACGAGACGAGGTATAGGTGGAAGACAGACACCAGGAAAGGTACAAGAGGAAGACTGACATAAGGAAAGACACGAGCAGAAGACTGACACAAGGAAAGGTGTGAGCGGAAGACTGACATGCTCATAAACTGGAATGAGGCAGGAAGTGACAGCAACACAGGGCTCAGTAAGTACTGGATGCTGGCTTCCTTCCCTTTGAAAAACATTCTCTGAAAGAAAACAGTGAGACAGTCACTGAAGAGAAGCAAAGAAACTAAGGCCTTGTCTACTTAGTAAGTCCACCTCTATCATCTCTGAGAGCCCAGGGTGAAAGGTGTGGAGTCAACCACTCAGGAGTCTCAGCCCTGAAACTCACTGCAGAATCCTAGGAAAGTTAACCAATCTCTCTGAGCCTTGGATTCCTCTAGTCATCCAAGGACAAGAGCCACCTCCTAGAGTTTTCTGATAGCCACAGAATGGCAACATGATGGTATATACTGTGTAGCATATATACACAGGGCTTTGCAAAGGTGGAAATTCACTGTGGCCGCTCTGTATGCCACACATTGGCTGTAGTGCAACAGGCAGCAGTGAGGCAAGGCTTAGAAGCAGGAAGAAGCTGCTGCTGGCTGCCCAGGAGATATGAATAACGCAAAGACTAGAACCAGGTGTGAGCACATAACTATAGAAAAAGCCAAACCTGGACAAAAGGGAGATCTTAACAACAGGTGTTGCTGAACCAATTAAGACGAAGACAATCAGTTTTCTAGAAGTCAAGCCTTAGAGACCTGGAAACAGACACTACAGAAAGGATGATTACAGGAGCCTGAACCAGATGTTTAGAATCTTCTTTAGCCAAGCCAGGGAATAAGGAGGTATCTCTAGAGGAGGGAGGCTGGAGAAGGCCCAAGCATCAGAGCAGTCAAGACCAAGTCCAGAGGACAAAAATGGAGATCAGAATTCTAAAACCCAAAAGTAGATTGTAGATGAACTGAGAAGTCATCCAAATTTGCTGCAGAGTCAGCGTCAACCCCAGGCACAGAAGCACACATCAACTTGGGCGCTCTGTCAATCCTGTAAGGCGACCTGTTCCCCCTAAGCCCATCTCTTTCTATCTTTCTTTCTCTTGGCCCTTCTGGGTTCTGTTGGCCTTCCTCTTCATTTTCTAGAAATTTCTTCAAAGATGAACAACAAAAAGATATATACTAATAAATTTTCTTTCCTATTTCATTCTACCTACAGATATTTTCAACATAGATTTAAGAAAAATAAAGATAACATACTCTCTCTCTCATACACACACGCACACCCCTCAATATAATTCTCAAATCTGGAAAAGTAACAAAAACAAATAAATCTAGGAAACCTATAAAACAAAATGTGGGCAGTGATCTATCGGGTTCAATGCTCAGAAGGAATAAAATGCTGTAAATGTAAATAGGGAGCTGAAGAGAGGACCTGGGTTCTCTTCTCAGCACCCACATGGTAGTTCACAACCATCCCTAACTCCAGCACCAGAGGATCTGACCTTGGCAGGCACCAGGTACAGTGCACATAAATACATTCAAATGAAACACCATACACATAAAACAAATGAATCTAAAATTAAATAAAAGGTCTTTTTTTTAAAAATGTAAGTAAACCTCTAAAGACTTCTTGAAAGGCAATTTGGCAGCAAATATAAAATACTACATATGGCATGTGACCTAAGGGGAGCAATTCTGAAACTCTGACCCACTCAAACAAGCATGCAGAGATGTGTACATAAGGTGCCACAATTCAGTGTCACATTCTTTACTATTTAATAGCCATAAAAAAAGGAGGTGGAGTAGGGTAGAGCTTAATGTAACCAGCCATGAGTGGTAAGTGATTACACTATGCTATCAATACACAAATTATACAACTGAGAAAACACTGATCTATACACACTGACATAAGAAAATAGACCTTTTAAAAAGAACACCAAAAAAAAAAAAAAAAGGAGAATGTAAATCAGAGCAATAAACAGAGAATGCTCTTACCCATATTAACAAAAAAATTTATAAAAAACTGGATATAAACCTTCCTATAAACCCAGCATTTAGAAAACCGAGACAGGAAGATTATTATGAGCTCATGGCCAGCTTGGGCTACAATACTGAAACCCAATCTCAAAATACCAAGAAAGAGCAAGGCATGGTGGTGAATGTCTTTAATCCCAGCACTCCAGAGGCAGGGGCAGGAAGATCTCTGATTTTAAGGCCAGCATGGCCCACACAGAGAAACCCTGTCTCAAAATACAAAACAACAACAAACAAAAATCTGCATACATAAAATTCTGGATGTACACGTGTATGTAGAAGTGTTCTCACAATCTATAGAAAATGATCTATCCAAAAAACACATAAATCAAACCATGAATAATGGTTACTTCGGTGGAATGATTCTGGGACTGTGTAAAAACAACATATTTTGATGCTGTTTATAATATTTTCAATGAATATGTTGTTTTGATACTAAAAAGTGTCAAAAAGGGTAGAATGATTGTAGCCTAAAGGAGATAAGCCAGGGCCAGATGAACTCGTATTCCCATTTGCTTTTCCACTCAGAAGCCTCCTCTGCAAGCCTGAGGAACCACCTGTTCTCAAGCCCCTGCCCCAGACCTGCTGTAGTTCTCCTCAGGGCCCCTCTCTTCTGCATCAGCCTCATCAGTCCTGTCATACGTCAGGAGATCTGCCGGGACATCATGAATCTGGACACTGGGAGCATGGTTCAGCATTTTCAAGTTTTCAAAGATTGTCTGGCGGATCTGGTCCAGATACTAGAAGAGAGGAAAGAAAAGTCAGCAGCGACTAGGTGGGTCCCAGAGAACACACCCTTCTATCTATCTGCCTTCCACCCTGACAGTGTTAAGTAGTATTTCAAGTTCAGATCCCCACTTGGTAACTGTCCCTCCCCACCAACCCAACTGTCTCTATTGTGGACTGCTCCAAGATGTTAAGAGCAACAGGGACAGCTCAGAATTTCCTTCTCTTGCTTTCTCCTACCTCCCACCTCCTGGACCTTCCTGAGCCCTCCCCTCTTGCTGTGTCCAGCTTCTCACAGCTGCTAACCTGGCGGGAATTCTGATTCTCGATGCGGGTGCTGACATCTGGGTGGAGCGTGAAATCCGGGGCAAAGTACTCAAAGTATTCTTAGAGAAGAGAAGTGAGGGAAGGCATGAATGAAAAGTATGGCCGAGATACAAAAAGGTGAGTCCCACGACTTTCCGATCTCCCTCCCCATCCTGGTCCCCGCGTGTACGAGTATTTGCTCTGCTCTGAGCACAGGGGTTTAGTCTGCAGAGCTCCCAGAATGTACAGTTTCCCATGTGCCTTCAAACAAGGTCATCCTGGAGACTGGTGAGAATGGTTCCACTTGTGGGGGCATCCTGAGGTGGACCTTACCACTATAGGGAAGTTCCTCACTAATGGCCTCTTCTACCAGCAGAGATGTTTCGTATGTCCTGAAACCAGCAAACAGAGGGGTTTGGGCTGACAAGTGGGCTGGAAGGGCCACCCCTCCAATTTCAGGGAGTCCATAGCAAATCACAAAGGAGAAGGAGATTGGACTCACCAGCACCGGGCGACGTTTCGGACGGTGTAGCCACCACCACCCAGCACCAGGAGAGGGATATTGAAGCTCTTCACATATTCGACACATTCCCTGTTAGAAGTAATAAGAGGACTCAGTGAATCCAAGACATGTGACCCAGGTATCACTTGAAATGTTGGGCAAAGATTTGCCCAATAATATTCTCTGTCATTCTGCATAGTAGAACTCAAAGTTACATTCTTTGTGTGTGACTGCTTATATAGATGTGTGAGAGTCTTTATATGTGTGCCAGTGCATGTGTGTGTTTAGAGGGTGTGTGTGCTCATGTGTACAGGGTCCAGAAGAGACCCTCAAGTGTTGGCCTTTTTTTTTTTTTTTTGACCTGGAACTTGCCAAGTAGGCTAAGCTGGCTGGCCACAGCCCTATGAGTCTTCTTGACTCTACTTCCCCAGGGCTGGGATTGTGGATGGTAAGTGCTGTACTACTGGGCCTAGTGTTCTTACAGGGGTTCTGGGAGCAAACTCAGGTCTTCCTGCTTGTGTAGCAAGCACTTGGACTGAGTGTGCATTTCACCCTGCCCCACCTGACACCCTCCTGCCTCTCAGCTGTATGCTCAAGATTAGGACTCCTTAGGGCAGTGAGCAGTTACTAAGAAAAATGTGTTTTCTAATGGTCATGACCCACAGGTTGAGAAGCACTGCTCTAGGGGCTAGCACGTCAACTCAGCATTAGCGTCTACTGCTCTCCCAGTGGAACAGACAGTTCCCAGCATCTACACTGGAAAGCTCCAGGGAATCCAGCCCTCTTCTGGTGCTTGCGAACACGGACACATACACACACGAACAAATAAAAATAAATCTTTAAAAACTATTAGTATACTTTAATGTTTTGTGTCTCAATAAAAATTTTAAAGTAAAGCACACCCTCACTCTGTATTGCTTAATATTCTCCCTGGCATCTTGCCTTCTACTCAACTCTAGAGTGCCAGCCAGACTGTCTGTTCTAATCTTCAGGGTACACCTTCAAACCCCCTATTTCTCTCCATCAAAACATGCCCTTCCCCAAATAATGTTAATGGCTTCCTAAGTGACTTCCCACTACCTATCCTGTCCCCCGACTCCCACGGTAACTTTCAAACTCATCAGACCACGCCACTTCCCTGTTTAAGATCCTTCAACAATTTCTATCATCCATGGAATGACAGGGTCTAAAAGTTCTGGCCAATCTCAGCCCGGTGCTTTCTGCACCTCACTATGTTCTGGCCATGCCAGCTTTATTTCTTCTTGTCAAGACAGTAGCTCTTTTTTGGTCCATTGGCCCTTCTCACTGCCCAGGGCAGTATTTCCTGTTCTTCTATCATGGCTCACTCCTTCTGAGTCTCCAGGTCTCCCACTTCACCTTCTCAGAAAACCCTTCCTAAAGCATGCTGTCCATAGCAAATTCCCACACCTTGTGTGGGAACCTGAGCTTGTAATCCCAGAATTTGGGAGGCTAAGGCAGGAGGGTCACAAGTTCAATGCCAGCCTGTGCCACACAATGAAACCTTTAAAAAAAAAAAAAAAAAAAAAGGATAATTAAAAAGATTCCTTCTTGTTACCCTCTTAATATTTTTTCCTTCATTAGATGTTTGTTTTGTTTGTGTGTATGTGTACTTATGGGCACTGAGATACACACACATGCACATACAATAATAACAATAATAATAATGATAATAAAAGAGAAACTAAAACTTTATACAACAACAAGAAGGAAGGCAGCTCACCCATGTCCCCGTATGCTGAGATTGAAACAGCCTAGTCGATCGCAGCCCAGGGAGTCAGCTCCACACTGCAAAGAGGAAAACCCAAAACCGCTACAGTGACGTGAAAGATCAGAGCATCGGTGTCCTCTACTGTCCTTCCCTCACAATGTAGGGAAGTCAGTCTTCCGCTCTCCTCCCTGTAGCCCAGGCAGGGCCGCTTAGGGGCTGAGGGCGCTACCTGCAGCACGATGCACGTTGGCTGGTAGAAGTCCACCACCTGGCTGATGACTGGCTGGAAAAGGTGCTTGTAACCTGGGAGAGGGCCAAAGGTGGGCAACCTGGCACCCCAAGGGGATGGGGAGACAGGGAACAAAAGGAAAAAGGGGGTTGAGAGAGCATGTAGCCCAGGAAAGGGGCAACCCATAGAACCAGCCACTGGTTCTGAACTTCTGGATGATGTCACAACTGCTGGGTGACTAATAAACACTAACAACCTTCTTCCCAGAAAAATAGATAAACAAACAAAACGCACATACACATACTATATTGCATACAAACTCCAGGGGTTCATGGTCCTTCTGAAGGCCATTCATCCTTAAGGACACCTGGCCCAACAATAGACAATGCCAGGCAGAAGAGGTTAATTGAAAGAGAAAAAAGGGGGTTGGGGGGCGTGAGCAGGGAGAAGTCCTCAGAACTTACTCTGGTCATCAATGCCATCCCGTAAGGGCACATTGAGGCAATAGTAGCGGCCACTCTCTGCTCCAACTTCATACATGTCACCTGTAGAAAAGTGAGTAGAGTGATCATGCACAGGAAGTTTCCACACCACAGCTGTCCCTTCTGTGTCCTCTACCACATGCTCTCTACGGCTCCAGCAACTTGCATTCACTCAGTACAGGGCCATGGCTATGTAACTTGCTATGTTGCCTAGCCTAGCTTCTAAGTTTTACTCCCTCTGCTTCAGCCTCCTGATTATCTGAATTACAGGTATGTGCCTCTTTGCCTGGTTAAAAACTTCTATTTAGCCAGACATGGTGGTACACACCTTTAATCCCAGTACTCAAGAGGCAGAGGGTCTGTAGTGAGTACCAGAACAACCAGAAGCCCTGTCTCAAAAGCCAAACCAAACCAAACAAACAAAGAAATCAGATTGGTTTGTTTTGTTTTGTTTTGTTTTGTTTGGGGGGGGGGGTTATATTGTTTTAAGATTTACTTTTATTTTCTACTTTTGAGTGTTTTGCTTGCATGTATGTATGTGTACCACAGGCATGCCTGTTGCCCACGGAGGTCAGAAAAGGGCATCAGATCTCCTGGAATATTGCAGACAACTGTAAGCTGCCATATGGGTGCTGGGAAAAGAACCAGGTCCTCTGCAAAGGCAGTAAGTGCTGTTAACAGCTGAGCCATATCTCCAGTCCCTGATTTTCTTTTTTCTTTCTCTTTCTTTCTTCCTTCCTTCCTTCTTTCCTTCCTTCCTTCCTTCCTTCCTTCCTTCCTTCCTTCCTTCCTTCCTTTCTCTTTCTTTTTCTTTTTTGTTTTTTGAGACAGGATTTCTCTGCATAGCCTTGGCTATTCTGGACTCTTTGTAGACCAGGCTGACCTTGAACTAACAGAGATCCCCCTGCCTCTGCATCCTTGAGTGCTGGGATTACATATGTGTGCACCAGCCTGATTTCTGTTTTTTTGGATTTTTTTTTAAGTTGTTTTATACTTTTTTTGAAACAAAGTCTAGTAATGTATCTCACACCCACCTCAAACTTAAGGCAACCCTCCCAACTGAGCCTCGTGAGCCTGCCTACTGGGAAAATAGGCATATGCCATCACACCCATTTCAACAACTATTTCTGCTAAGATGTGTACTAGGCACAGGGGATAAAGCAATGAATAGACCTAATGAAATTCTACCAAATTCATACTGTTGGAGGTACATAATAATGAAAAGAAATGTGGTGGTTTGAATAAGAATGGCCCCCACAGGCTCATATTTTTGAATGCTTAGTCATCACAGAGTAGCACTATTTGAGGATTAGGAGATGTGGCCTTGTTGGAAGAAGTGTCACTGGGGGTGGGCTTTGAGGTTTCAAAAGCCCATGCCAAGTCCAGAGTCTGTCTCTGTGTCTGTCTCTGTCTCTCTCTCTGCCTATGGATGAGGATGTGGCTCTGAGTAACTGCTCCAGAGCCTGCCTGCCTGCTGCCATGTTGATAATGTATTAACCCTCTTTCATAAGAGCTGCCTTGGCCATGGTGTCTCCTCACAGCTATAGACAGAGAATGAACAAAAACTACAATAAATGCAACTAGCAGTGAGTAATCTGAGAAAAAGAAACAGGGTGAGGTACCTGTTTATCTACTTTAATGGAGTGACTGGAGAGGTGTCTCTGAAGAGAGACATAATACATGAGAACAGAAGGCTAAGGAGTCAGTCGCCGCAAAGAGCTGAAGGACAGATGGGCACAGGGGCACATACCCTATAATCCCATGATTCAGAATGCTGATTATAGAGGATTCTGTTCAAGGCTAGCCTGAGCTACAGAACAAGACCTTGTCTCAAAACAAAACACATACACACCTACACAAAGAGTTGTAAGATAGAAAAAAACCCACAGTGATCCTATCGCTTACCTGTTCCAGGAAAGAAGTAATTGCCGTATTTGTGGAAGGACACAGTCATGACACGGTCCGTGAGGTAGAAGGCTTCCTGAACCCCATCACCATGGTGGATGTCGATATCAATATAGAGCACCCGAGGGTGGTACCTGGTGTGAGGACAAAGCCGCAGTCTGGGGAAGAGGCCAATCCCCCAATCCTCTCCTCCCCAACACAAGCTCTGGAATTATTTAGAGTCTGCTTCTGGCCAAGTCACTTGAAACCTCATCCCACCAGTTTCTTCCAGGCAGCCGGGGCACCATCCTGAAGGCTAGAGACGGGAAGAAAAGCGATGTGCAGAGTGGGCTGAAATGTGAGCAGGCAGCAGAGAAGATGCTGCAGAACCGAGGAAGGAGCCAACCGAGAAAAGCATCAAGGACTTAAGAGAAGCCAGTGGGGAAGGAGGTCAGGACTGGGCCAAGAACCTTGGTCCCAGTCCCTAAAGTCTCCCCATCTCTTCCTGGGATACTTACTTGAGCAGCTCCAGGATACCAATTACAATGTCATTGACATAGCAGAAGCCAGAGGCCTGTGGGGAGATGGCTCTATAAACAGAGGAACAGTTTTTCTACCTAGATACCCCAGCACTGTCATTCAGCCCACCTCGCTCAGGGTAGCCAGTCTTCCCCACTGCAGCCTTACCTCAAATTTTTTGGCATGGTGTAGACCGCCAGCCCAGTTGATAGCAATATCACAGATCTGAAAGATAAACACCCATTGAATCTTCTTCCTGCCCACCACTGAAGCTGGGTTCTGGGTCAAGGCTAGATGGCCTTGGATCTGGAGACCCACAGAAAATTCAGGACTCGGGGTTACATCACCTTGTTGTTCAGCTGTGTAGCTCCTTGCAGAGATGCGCCTGTGTATCGAGAGCAGAACTCAAAGAGCCCGGGAAACACTGGGCTGCAGGAAAGAGAGTGGAGTGACACCCCTCTTGCTGTTGTCCACCTCCTTCCCCACTCAAACTCCAATTACAGCTCCCTTCCCCTCCTCCACACCTGAGCCATCTACGGATTCATTCAACAAAGATTTTGGACCAAATCTTGTGCCAAACCTTGTGCAAAGCATGGTACAGGAAGCATAAAAATGTCCAACTGACAGGGAGTTTGTACTCTACCTGGGAAGCGAAGCAAACAGTTTCTAGGTTCTTAGGTACACAAGAAAATGCGAGGAAGCTGAGCTAAAAGAAGAGGTTGGAGAGACTGACAACAAATGACGTCTGCCACAGTTTATCATAACATGCAACGATATTGCTTATGGCTGCTATATATTACAAAAGCTATACTTTTTTTTTTTTTTTTTCCCAGACAGGGTTTTTCTGTATAGCCTTGGCTGTCCTGAAACTTGCGTTGTAGACCAGGCTGGCCTCGAACTCAGAGATCTGCCTGCCTCTGCCTCCCAAGTGCTGGGATTAAAACTGCATCACCAGCACTTGGCCTATGGTTACACATTTTTAAAGAAAGAACTGCATCCCTATTCATATGAAATACTAACAGCGATACAACTAACTGAAAGCCTTTAGCACACTGTTATCACATTAAACCACATGTCAACTTTGATTACCACCTACATACTGTATGATTCCACTTATGTAACATTCTAGAAAAGATAAAATATAAGGATAAATCAGATCAATAGTTGCTTGGAGCTAGGTGGAGAAAAGGGATTGACTACATTTGTAGAGTGAAGGAAATATTCAGTACCCTGGTACACTCTATCAAAACTCTGAGAAATGTGACACCTCAGAGCTAGATGGCTTGGTCAATTAAAGTGCTTATGTTACAAGTAGGAGGACCTGAATTGATCTAAAGAACCCATGTAAAAAGGTCAAGTTTTATGGTTTATGCTTCTAATCCCAACTCTAGGAAGGCAAATCTGAGGGGGTTGCTGACTAGTTCCAGGCCAATGAGAGACCTTGTTTAAAAAATCAAAATGGCAGCCAGGCTGTGGTGGTACAAGCCTTTAATCCCAGCACTCAGGAGACAGAGGCAGCAGATCTCTGTGAGTCCACTCTGGTCTACAGAGCGAGTTCCAGGACAGACAAGGCTACACAGAGAAGTAGAGAAAAGAAAAAAACCAAGGTGGCCAGGTTTGTGGTGAATGCCTTTAATCCCAGCATTCTGGGGCAGGCAGATCTCTGTAGATTCAAGGCCAGCCTAGTCTACATAGTGAGTCACAGGATACCCAGAGCTACATACAAAGACTGTCTCAAAACCACATAAACAAAATGGATAACACTTGAGAAATGGCAGCCAATAGTTGCTCTCTAGCCTCCACATACATACATACATACATACCCCTTCATATATATGAGTCCTCATGCACATACACACACACAACACACAAATAGGACACCTTAAAAAGATGAATTACACTTAAAAAAATGGCTCAGCAATCAAGAGTTCTTCCAGGAGACCCAAATTGGGTTCCCAGCACTCACATCAGACAGCTTGTAACCATCTATACCTCTAGTTCCAAGAGATCCCACATCCTCTTACTGTCATTCATGGGTACCCCAAATATATGGCACAGCGTTCATGTACACAGATATGTACATACTCATAAATACATACATATCTTTAAAGGTGAAATTACTGTATGTAAATTACATCTTTGTACCTAGTTTTTTTAGTACTTTAAATAGGGACTGGAGAGATGACTCATGGTTAACAGCACTTGTTGCTTTTGCAGAAGTCCTAAGTTCAATTCCCAGCACCCACATGTTGGCCCATAACCATATGCAATTCCAATTCCTAAAGATCCAATAGGTATGCACATGGCATGCACGAAGGTAAAATATCTATATACATAAAATAAAATAAATAAAACTTTAAAAATTTAAATACTTTAGCTATATTGAGCTTAAAAATTAAAACACAGTAGTACAGCATGCATACAACCAATCCCAAAGTGCCACAAAAAATAAATAAATCCTTTGTCTTAGGTCTCCAAGAAACCAGTGCAGCCTATATACTGACCATGAAAGAAAACATGATTAGGTAGGAATACATTAGTAGCTCAGTGGCAGAATGCCTGCCTAGGATGCACAAAGCCTTGGGTTCAAATCTCAGGATGGCAAAAAAAAAAAAAAAAAAACAGAGTATAGGGAGTTTTATGGTTTTTCAAGACTTAAAAAGATTTGTGTTTGATGAGTAGAAAACTAAGCAAATTGAAAAAAAAATGTCATTGCCAATTCTAGGAAAATCAAAAAGTTATATGACAAAATAGACTAATAGTTCTATTTGGCACTTTAGTTATAATGATGTAAGCACAGATGGTCTGTGGTGGTGGAGGCAGAGGCAGGTGAGATCTCTGTGAGCTCAAGGCCAACCTCATCTACAGATCGAGTTCTAGGACAGCAGGGCTCACAGAGAAACTGTCTCAAATCAAAACAAAATAATAATAATGTAAGCATATAATTTTAAAATGTAAAGGTTGGGTGTGGTGGCAGACATCTTTAATCCCAGCATTCAGGACCAAAGGCTGGACAATATCTGAATTTGTGGCCAGACTGTCTCTAAAAGAAATTCTAGGCCAGCCCAGGCTACACAATGAGACCCTGTCTCAAAAATTTAATTTAATTTAATTTAATTTAAAAGTTGATGCTAGATATAGTAGATCACACTATAATCATAGCATTCTGAAGTAGACAGAAGTCATCGTTAGCTATACAATCTAGGCTCTAGAGGTCCTGTCTCTAAATAAATAAATAAACAAATAAACATACAAATAAGGGGGTATCAAGATTGTTGGTATAATGTTCTTTTGGAATGTATATAATTTACCCTTGTTCATTCAAATGCTGATTTCTCTACCCCATTATCTGATTTCATTCTGCTTATTCTAAGCATCACCTGTCTCAAGTTTGTGTAAACATGCCACCATTTGTTCTCTGTAATTGTTAATATAACAATCAGCCAGTGCTATGCAATGGAGAGAATAGGGTAGGACATCGGGTCCAGAGAGGAGAAGGAAGTGAGGGGGAGTAGGAGAGAGAGATTGGCAGGAGAGGTCTTCCAACCATGAGGAGAGATGAACTAAAATATAAAATATTTCATATTTATATAAAATATAAGATATGACTAAAAGTATAATGTGGGAAATCTGAATGGTAGGAAACTATGCGGGCTTAGAGGTTTAGGATGGACTATTGCCCAGCATTGTGCTCTAGGTTAATTAAATAAATCCTAGTCTCTGTGTGGTGATTCGGGTATACAGCTAGTTTACAAATAACCACGGTTTAACTTAAAAATAAATCAATATTAAATATTAATAACCCACAATACAAGATGGCCCAGCAGATGGGGGCATTTGCTACAAAAACTGATAGCCTGGATTCAATCTGTGAAACCCATAGGAAGATCTATTCTGATCTATCAGACTGTCCTCTGACCTTTACCACCCCACCAAAAATCAGTAAATAAAGGAAAAATAAATTTCCAAGAAAGCAAATACATTAGTAATATAAACTGTGATATTATTGCATTGTGAAATGGGAGAAAAGAAGAACACAGTGGGGTGATATAGAAAAATGAATTTGCTCATACCCCACACCAATGGCTTATTAGACAACACCTAAAATTGATAAAAAAAAAAAAAAAAAAAAAACAGCAAAAAGAGATAATACAGTAGAGAAGTATGGTTGTAAGCCCAGATTCAGAAGTTCACCCATGACGCTAGTGATGGTGAGGTGGGGTAGGTAAGCCATACTTCAGTGTCCTTATCTGTACAAAATATACGCCCTGACTGATAAGGGGTTGTTGATATAGAGAAAATGGCTACAAAGCATTTAAAACAGTACCTAGCACATACTAGGTATTATCTAAATATTACAAATTAGTAGGAGTAAAGAAATTTTATTATTTTGAAATGTAAAGATAAACACCATAGCCCATCATGATGGCGCATGCCTTTAATCCTAGCAAATGGAAGACAGAGGCAGATGGATCTCTGAGTTCAAGGCAAGCCTGGTCTACAGAGCAGAGTTCCAAGACATCCAGAGCTACACAGAGAAACACTGTCCAGTAAAAAAAGAGAGAATAAGAAACTGCCCAGGACAGTATGTGACTCAACAACAAATGAGCAGCACACTGCATAGAAGACAGAACTCTGGGGCAACACTGCCAAGAAAAGCTGTATGGGGCTGCAGAGATGGCTCAGAGATTAAGAGTGCTGGCTGCTCTTCCAGAGGTCCTGAGTCCACTTCCCAGCAACCACACGGTGGCTCACAACCATCTATAACGTGATCTGGTGCCCTCTTCTGACGTGGAGATGTACGTGCAGATAGAGCACTCATTCACATAAAAATAAACGACAAATAAACATTAAAAAAGAAGAAGAAAAGCTATATGGATGGCCAAGCACAGTGACACACACCCGGAATCCCAGCACTGAAAGGCAGAGATGGGAAAACCACCAGTTCAATGACAGCCTGGACTACATAAAAAGATCCTGTCTTGAAAATCAAAACAAAACAAGACATGGAAAGGAGAGACAGAGAGAGAAAGCCTGGAGAGATGCTAGAGGACCTGTGTTCAGTTGCCAGCACTCATATCAGGAGACACACAACCGCCTGTCACCCCACCTCCAATGAGCTTTTCTGGCCTCCACAAGTCCCCACATATGTGGTATACACACATATACATACACACACAGTGACATTTTTTTTAAATATTATTTTCAAAGAAAAGAAAGGAGACGTGGGAGCCACATGGAAGTGGAGTGAGAAGGCTGAGGAGGCTCAGAGCACTCCCGCACTGTGGGGGTGAGGTTTGGGTACCAGTGCGCAGGGCAGACTAAGGAGCTTGCCTTTATCCCGCAGTCCCGGCTACTTGTCAAGTCAGCTCTTTCAGTAAGACAGATTAGGAAATCGCTTACAGACCTAGGCTCTGAGCCAGATGTGGTGCAGTAAGACTGATTCTAAAAGTCAGGAGGCTATAGCCCATTCTGTTCTATGCTGCTTTCAGAGTCAAGTTCAAGGCTAGCCTGGGGCCATCTGGCACGACTTTATCTCAAACAAACAGAAAACCTGGGCTTTGGATCTGTGTCCTATCCCATTTATTTATCAGGTGACTCAAGATAAACTACAAAGAGAGTTCCAGGACAGCCAGGGCTGTTACAGAGAAGCCCTGTCTCAAACCACACTTGCCCCACCCCCCATATATGCTCTATTTGCCTATGTGCCTACATGACAGAAGAGGACATTAGATCCCATAATAGATGGTTGTGAGCCACCCTGTGGGTAAACTCAGGACCTCTGGAAGAACAGCCAGTGCTCTTAATTGCTGAGCTATCTCTCCAGCACAATGTTTATTATTTTTCACTAATGCGAGGCTCAGTTTTGTTGCCCATTCTCTAGTGTTCCAACTCTGAGTCTTCTGCCTACAATATAAGCTCTGTCTTAACCTGGTCTGGTTAGGGATGAGTAGCATGCATAAAAGACTGAATTCAATTCCTAGCATTCTCTTTTTTTTTTTTTTTTTTTTTTTTTTTTTTTTTTTTTTTTTTTTTTTTGGTGTTTTAAGACAGGGTTTCTCTGTATATCAAAGTCCTGGCTGTCCTGGATGCATTTTCTAGACAAGGCTGGCCTTGAACTCGTAGAGATCAGCTTGCCTCTGCTTCCCAAGCGCTGGGATTAAAGGCATACCACCATGCCTCCCCAAAAAAGAAAAAAAGTTTAATTAATTAAAAACTAGTCCTATAAAATCATTTCCTGGCTTTAATGACCTTCATCTACTATAGAAACAAAACCATTGATATATAAGATAGCTGTTTACCTTAAAAACAAACAAAACAAAACAAAACAAAACAAAACCAGGGCCTCACTAAATAGTATAGGCTGGCCCTGAACTGACAATTTTCTTGCCTCTGCCTAAGTGTCAGGATTACAGATGTGAGCTTTCTCAGGCTTTATACTTTACAAAGGCCCCAGTCGTCTTCTTAGCCTCCATTACATCACTCTTCTATTCATTTTCTGGACTGCCTCACTGGTACTCCTCATATTACACACTACCACAGCCCCTTAAGCACAGTCCCTCCTACCCACATCTCTCCCCTCACCCTCCTGCTTTCAGACCTCAGTTCCATCTCTATCATTTCATCTAAGACCAGTCTTTCCCTGAAATGTTCTTTCTAGTACACACACTCATAGTCAGACGTAGTCTTCCTCACAGGACTCAGCAAAGGTAGAATATTAAAACCTTGTCATTTTTCTACACCACTGCATCCCTCAGACTTAGCACAGGACCTGGCAAAGATGGACCAAATGACCATTAGGTAATTACTGACAAACAAATGAGTGAATGATAATTAACTGACTAGTAGGCTCTTTCCACTGCTACCGCGTGACCCCCGGCCTCCCTCCCGGCGCTTGACAACAAAACCCATCCTTCCCTTACCAGTCATCACCCACGTTGAAGGCATTAAGGCTCTTGGTGAAACCCTGCATGTTGGTGGGGCTGACTCTCTGCAAGAAATCAATGTAGTCCTCAGAATGGAAGCGGCACATGTCATGCTGGGAGGCCTGGTAAGGCTTGAAGACCTAGGGATGGAGACAGAAGTGAAGCCGTTACCTTGAGGACTGCCTAGGTACTGCTCAATTTCTTCTACACTGCCCTAATCTTATCCTTGAAGGCAGGATGCCTCTCAGGTGGGCGAGCCAGAACAAGATCAGCCGGAAGAGGGTGCCAGTGCGTGACCAACTAGACAAGACCTAACTTAATTATAATCCCATCTAAATGCTGAATGACATTCCCAATACCAGGACAGGTGACAACTACCATGGAAACAAGTGGAAGCCAAAAACGAAGAGAAAAGAGTTGGCGTCTGAATTACTAAAAATTTTCTGCTCAGTCTCAGGAAAATGTATACACACACACACACACACACACACACACACACACACACACATATATGCCATTTCTTTATTATCAGTCTATTTATCTTGCCTCATTTTTTTACTCTGTAGCTATAAATTCTTTCTTAATTAAAAATTTTTATTACATTATTTATTTCTTCTGTGTGTGTGCGTGCGCGTGCACATGTGTGAGTGGGGAGGCGGGATGGATGGGTATCCACGCCACAATGAGGTCAGGGATTAATAGGTGTCACCACCTTTCACCACTGGGCTTCAGACCCAGGTCATCATCAGGCGTGGAGATGGCACCTTTACCCACTGACTCTAACCCTCTTGCTATCTATAACCTCTTGATCTGTTCGAGCTGAGACGTGGTCTCACAGGAATAAAAGTCCCTTTCACTGTCCTCCTGACGCACAGTCTTGTTACTGGTTCCACACAAGGCCAGGAAGGAAGAAAAAAGTGCCTGGCAACCAAACCAGGCAGTGCTACACCAGCCTCGAGGCTGGACCTGCCCTGGAGACTGTCCAAAACACATATAACAATCTCCCTACCCACTATTCCTTGCTATTCTACAGCATCTCTCTGAGTGAAGGAGAGAGGCTGCTAGCTAGGCAAGCCACTTTTGTCAAGGCCCCTGGAGATCACTTCATCTTCAGCCCTTCAGCCCAGCCTCTACCTTCTCAGCCTTGGCTCCTGGCCCACTCTGCCCTGTTCCCAGCTCTCCCAGGCCTGGTTCCTTCTACACTCCTCCTCTCCTAAACCCAGGTTCTGTCCTCTTCTCTGGGTTTTTCATTGTGGGGTAAAATATGTGAACTATATGACAACCTAACTGAAATCCAAAGTCCTAAACCAAAGATTTATTATCCTCAGTGTGGGAGGCGGGGAACCGGGGGTAGGAGTAGAGGTTCAAACAGTGGTTTGAAAATTGGGCAAGAAATGCTTTTTTTTTTTTCCTCTCTCTCTCTCTCTCTCTCCTATAAAATGCATAAAAGGACACACAGACAATTTCAGGGATTCACGGACTTGCAATAATATCACCTTAGCCTTTTCTGCTCCCAAACACTGCCTGCCCCTCCGCTCACTGATGTTGGCTATCTTCATGGTGCATAAGGGTTGGACTTGTTATTTTTCCCATCTCACAGCTAGAAATTCTGAGCTGGGGAGAAAGAGTGACTGTATAACATGGAAGATGCAAGAGTTGAGCAAAACCACATAGTCAGATTCATTCCATGCACATACACCACAAAGGGGCACAGAGCTGTCCCCCAAAGAGTTGCTTTAGCTCCTAGCAGGTAAATGGGCAGAGGAGCAGGAATTACGGAAAAAGCTCACTCGAAAATAATACTCCCAACCCTCATCCTCAGTCCTGCACCACTATCGGCCTCACAGTGCAGAGGGCCTACAGGTGTGCTGCCATGGCAGAACACTCACCTAACGTGTGAAGCCCAGGATTTGGGGAAGAAACACACCTGTCGTCAAAGTGTCCCCTAACCCTGGGCCAAAGGCTGGTCTGCCCTCAAATTAAAAGGGAGTCCCACCTAAGGTCAAAAATACATCTCCCATTAAATCGGGGGGGGGGGAACAACACCCACTCATTACTACCAGCAAAACTGCCCTGTACATAGGTAATGCTCTCCCTGCCTTCTGTCCTGCTCCCCTTTCTCTAAGGGTAGATGGCCTGGTATGTCCAGCCCCAGTCTAAGGCTACAGCTCTCTGCCCAGGCCCAAACCCCCACAGAAGTGGCAGGACTCACGATCATCTTCTTATAGAGACCATAATGCAGAACTAGGCTATGAGTCAATGCCAGGCGATGGGGCTTCATAGGGTGCCCAGCTCCTGGGGGAGGGAAGAAAAAGAGTTGATCAGTTCCCGCCCTTAGAGTTACAGCCCTTGCCGTGAAACCTCTCTTCCCGAACAACCCTGAGCCCTACCGTAGTGAAAGTTGCCCACATCGGGGTCGTAGAAATACGCGACGGTCTTGGCCATGGTGCTAGGGGACCAGGCCCCGAGCCTCAGCCGCCCGCCCGCCCACCAGCCGCCAGCCCCACCCCCAGCGTGCGTACTGCGCAAGCACGCAGCCTACCTCTGCGGAACATGAGACCTCGCCCCGCCTCTTAAGACCACGTTCAGGTCACGCCCCTTATGGGAGTTCCACCCCGTGCTGTCCCGGTCCGGGTTTTGAGATCTGAGACTCGGAGCCTGGGCGGGGATCCGTGGCATCTTTCAGAGGATACGAGGGCCGTTTCATTCTGGGCGGGGGTCATATTCTCGGGAAGCGGAGCCATCCCGTACACCCACCAACCCCAAATGGGTCTTGGGGCCGTGGTCCCTCTCTAGGAACCTCGGAAAATCTGGCCACCCTGCGCCTCTCAGGTGCAGAAAGCCAGATTTCCCCAGACAGCGAGAAAGATTGATGATTTTCCATTCATCCGGGGAATGTGAGGGTAGAACCTGTGCCAGACGTGAGGACTAGACGGGTGGTCAAAGCCCTTCTTGACCTCCCGACCCCCTACGAGGACCCGGACTCACGCTGCACATTCCTCCTGGGGGAGGGGCGGCGGTGCAGTCACGCGCACATCTCACTTGCGTTCACACACGCGTAAGGCTCACGCTCTCCGCCCCGCACACCTGCGCTCCGCCCCTTGGTCCCGGGCCCAAGACACGAGTAGGCATTTGGGAACCCAAGACGGTTTCGGAGGCGCCCCCATCCCCTTCATTTCCCGGGCCAGAGTGGTCCGGAGCCTGTCTCGGCTCCCAACCGGCCCACATCCTCCGCCATCCTTCCCTCCCCCCGTCTGCCGCGGCACCGGTATCCGCAGCCACCAGCCCGGAGCCGGTGAGGCGGCAAAGGGGGGAGGGGGAGGAAGCAAGGGATGAGCTCCGGGAGGGCGTCGGGGGCCCTGAGCCGGACGAGGACGCCCCTGGAGCCGGGACCCGAGCCGGAGCCGGAGCCGGAGCCTGAGACAGAACCAAATCACCGGTACCGGGTGGGCCAGGTGGTCAGTATGGGAGGAATCGAAAGAGAAGGGACCCGGGAATGCAGGGAGGGGAGGGGGCTGCACGAGGCCTGGCTCAGGCGGGTGTAGAGGAGGTATCAACACTGACTCAAGCGAGATGTCTGAGCTTGCTCACTGCCTGAGAATTTCGTCCCATCTCGTGCTGCAGTGTCCTTGGGAGGGACAGGGGTGCGGGATGAGCTGTAAAAGATAGCGGTCTGGATGTCAGAGAAGTGGGACTGGGTCGTGGCAGAGGGCTTGCGTGGAAGCCTTCTGGCCTCCAGCCTGTGGCCGTCTTGGCCAAGCAGCACCCTTAGTCCGGACAGCTCCCTGGTTCGGTTTGGGAGTGGGGCGGACCTCCTATTGAGGATGCTAAGATACTTATTCTACCCGGTCCCCAGCTGCAGCCCACTAAACCCAGGAGGCGCCCTGGCCCGTGCTCGCCCCCCAGGGCCTCATGTCGGAACCACAGCCTGGCCTGGAGCCGCCCCAACATGGGCTGTACATGCTCTTCCTGCTTGTGCTGGTCTTCTTCCTCATGGGCCTTGTAGGCTTCATGATCTGCCACGTGCTCAAGAAGAAAGGCTACCGCTGCCGCACGTCTAGAGGCTCAGAGCCTGATGATGCCCAGCTCCAGCCCCGTGAGTGAGGAGCCTAGAGCCCTGATTAAGTCACCTTTCTCCCTTACCCTTCTCCCCAAACTTTTTTTCTGCCTCCCTGGCTGACAGACCCAGCCCAAATCCTGCTGAAGCCCAAAAGACAGCTTAAGATGCATTTTTGAGTCTGCATGTAGAGTGATAACACCCTGAAATCAAGGCTAGAGAAAGGGGTCCACTCGTGGTGGCCTTGGGAGCCTATTTCTTCTCCTACTTTTTCTGACCCTGATGCATGAAGGCACATAGGTAAAGGAATATGTCTTGAGCCATCACCCATGGGGCCATAAGGTCATGTTCCCCCAAAGCTGACTCATTTCCCACTTCTTGCCAACCTCTTTCATCCTTCAGCTGAAGACGATGACGTGAATGAGGACACAGTAGAGAGGATTGTTCGCTGCATCATCCAAAATGAAGGTGGGTAGAAGCCAACAGCTTGCTCCCTCCCAAACTGGCTTTCTCTTGCCCTGACCTCCACCTCCGACTCCCTCTTCTCCCTCTCCCATCAGCCAATGCTGAGGCCTTGAAGGAGATGCTAGGGGACAGTGAAGGAGAAGGGACGGTGCAGCTCTCCAGGTGAGCTGGAAACAAAGGCCAGCATGACTTAGCTTACCTTGGAGTACCCTCTCCTCTAATAGTTTTTCCAAGTACCATCGAAGTTTGGCAGCGGTGGTGGGGTGGGCTAGAGAAAGTTAGCTGTCCTAAAGAAGTCTTGTAGAAATCCTTCATCCTTCAGTGTTGCCCATCTAGATACCATCCAGCCTAGCATTCACCTCTGGTGTCACTTCCCAAAGGAAAGCACTCCTCTCTTCAGTAAACAGGGTGGAAAGGAAGAACATATGACCACTCGTGGCTTAACACTGAATTTATTAAAGACAAAAGGATGCTGGAGACTGGGGAAGGGTTTTGGAGCTTTAAAGAGCATATTGAAAGAATAGGGGGAGACAGCAGGAAGGAAAATAAACATATCATTTCTGCTCCCTTCCTTGCTGTGGTCCAGTGTGGATGCCACCTCCAGCCTGCAGGACGGAGCCCCTTCCCATCATCACACAGTGCATCTTGGCTCTGCAGCTCCCTGCATTCACTGCAGCCGCAGCAAGAGGCCCCCACTTGTCCGTCAGGGTCGTTCTAAGGAAGGAAAAGGCCGCCCCAGACCTGGAGAGACCACTGTATTCTCAGTGGGCAGGTGGGTATACATTTGTCCAAGAAAAAGGATGGGGCCCCCATAATCCCGTCCTTCACAAAGGTGGGACCCAATTCTTTCCTCTGAATGACTGGGGTCATTCTATACAGAGCATCCTACAATCTCAGGAGGCCTCCCTACCCGAGGCCAGAGAAGCTGCCATCAGCCCCAGGGAGGGAGGTTTAGGTAACCCCTAAGTTGCAATGTTCTCTTCCCACACAGATTCCGAGTGACACACATCGAGAAGCGCTATGGCCTACACGAACATCGTGATGGTTCCCCTATAGACAGAAGCTGGGGCTCTGGTGGGGTTCAGGAACCAGGGGGTAGTCAGGCAGCTGGGGGAGGGCAGCCTAGGGTAGGGTCCGCTGCCACTGAGAGGCTGCTCCCCGAGGCACCACCCTCCCAGGCCGCAGCCACCCACCCAGTGCAGAACGGAGGACTCAAGGATGTCAGCCTAGTCCCTTGTACACTTGAGGGGACCCCTGGAACCTCTGCAGAACTGAACTTGAGCACTAGAGGGAGAGGCCCAAGCCCAGGGCTGCCTAGTCAAGAGGCAAATGGACAGCCAACCAAACTGGACACCTCAGGTCAGGAGGTATGAAGACATGGCCAGGGCTGCATTGGGCAATGGTGAACACATCTGACTGTCCCCACTCTGGGCAACATTTATATGATCCACCTCCTGTTCCCACTGAATACTTCCCCTTCTCTCAGGAGTGTCTACCACCAGAAGCAGGGGGTATGTGAGGCGAGTCTCCCTGAGCTCAAGATCAGGTAATCTCACCCTTCCAGCCTCTACCTAAATCACTCAAGCCCATCAACTCCCTGAGCCCTTGGGGTGAACTATAAGCTTAGCGTGTGTTATAGATTCCTTGGCTGGTGGTGGGAAGTGGGCATTGGTGTCCTCCAGGAGTACAGGAAGATCAGAGCTTGACCAGAAAGCAACACTGTTCCCCTTCCTTTCTTCCAAGACTTGGTCTTCACTGTGCCGGTGGATTACCAGCAGGCATTGCCAGGGTATGGATAGCCATGAAGGCTCTCCCCTCCACTGGACAACACTGCCCCTCAGTTGAGGGACCAGCTCTACTTCCATCCAGAGTCACACAGTCCTGGGCTGAGGGACCTCAGGAGGAGCCCCTTCCACTTCCCAGCCCTTCATTCTTTTCCCTTTCCCACCTGCCAACAGGTTGCCCGGCCTGCCTACCCCCAACCCTCACTCCACATGCTAGAGTGTGGTGGTTGGGACCAGGCCTACCTATGGTGGGCCCCTAAAGCAATAGCACCTTAGTCTCCTTGCCATCTTGGCACAAGAGGCCCAGGACTTCATGGCTTGGGACTTCATGCCCTTTATTCACTGTCAATAAATCCGCTCAGACCATTACAGTTGCTTTGCATCCTGGCTCCAGCTCCTTCTGACTTCCAAGGTCTGCTCTTCTCCTGGCCACAGGCCTAGTGACCCTGGCATTCAGGGTGGGGTTGGCCACAGAGGCAGGGTGAAGACACAGATGAGCCAGAGCCATGCAAGGCTTTGGGGGATGGGTTCCAGCCCCAGAGATTTTGGGATACCTTACCACCCTAGATATGGGGAGATGGCAGAAAGTCAAAAGGGTAGTTCCAGCCCAGAGATGACAGGAAAACAATAGGGGGAAGGTGTGGGTTCAATCCCACAAACAGGAACAGGGTTTCTAACCCTGGAGGTGAGGGTGGACGTGGGGGAAGATTGCAGCTTTGCCTATGTCGCTCCAGGTCATTGAAGGGGTGGTTTCTGTCAGCAGAAAGATAGGGGCAGCAGCATCGTGGGGGCACTGACCCCCAAGGCCTTCAGGTGAGGGGATCTGGATGGCCAGGATCTGGGGCTTTGGCTGGTGGGGGAGGTGGTGGGCGCATCTGCAGAGAACATACATAATTAGTGCACCAAAGTCCCTCTTGGGAATATCCCTCTCTTACCTCAGCCCAGCAAACAAAATAGGACCCATAGGAATGACCCTCCAAGGCAGAGGCCCTTACCGGCCTGAGTCGAGGCACCAACATGTCCAGGGGTCCAGGGCAGTCTAGGACTTTGTCTAAAAATAGAAACCGAAAGTCAATTCTCAGTCTCTGTTGGGCTCCATACTGCATCTCCAGCACTTAGGATAGTGACACTTTATAAATACTTGTTGACATAGCAAAAAATAAAAAAAATCACCGGTCTGAGCTATAAAATCCATTAGTCCATCCATCCTCCACAAATACTTAATGCACAAGTACTCTGTACAAAGTACCAAAGAAAGGGGGTGGAGTGCAAAGCTCCCCCTCAAAATGGCTATTGAGAATCCCATAATATCTCTCTCTCTCTCTTTCCCTCACACACACACACAAACATGCACACACAGACAGAGAGACACAAAAAATACCCAAAAATTAAACTATTCAAGTGATGTGGGAATGCTGGAAGAAATGGTGGTGACCTTAGAGTCAGGGAAGGTGCCTGGAGGAGGTGGAAATACTAGAACATTTTAGAAAGGTTAAGTATTTCATGGTAAAAAATAGGGGGCTGTGGACTGGGACATAAGTTAGTGGTAGATATGCTTGCCTAGCATGAACAAGATCCTAGTTTGATCCCCAGCAATACTTCTCCCCCCCCCCAATAAATAAAATAATCCAAAGATAAGTACTGTATTTCAGAGTTTAAGGACACAAAGAAGAAAATGTACATTTTGGGGAGAATGTAAGAATGCCACGAGAAGATGCTGGGAATGGTGGCGCACACACCATTAATCCCAGCACCCGGGAAGCAGAGACAAGCTCATCTCTGTGAGCTCAAGACCAGCCTGGTCCACAAAGACAGCCCAGGACAGCCAGAGCTATGACACAGAAGAACCTTATCTCAAAACAACAAAAAAAAACCCACACACACGTGCCGTGAGAAAGGATAGCTAAGTTTTTAAATGTAAAGCAGCTATGTTTGCTGTATATCAGCAGAAAATTATATACTCTTAACAGGCATCTTAGGCAACTTTTTCTTTCTTATGTGTACAAGTGTTTTGCTTGCATGTATGTATGTGCACCACATATATGCCTGGTGCCCACTGGGGTCAGAAGAGGTTGTCAGATAGCGTGGGACTGGAATTACTGATGGCTGTGAGCTGCCACATGGGTGCTGGGAATCGAACCTGAGTCCTCTGCAAGAGCCACAAGTGCTCTTAGCCATTGAGCCAACTTTCTAGTCCCTGATTAACAATTCAATAAAGCAATGCCTTTCCCTTCCCTTTATAAAGAATGTAATCCAAGGTAGGCTGGTGACTCAGACTTCTAATCCCATAGGAGAGGCTGGGGCAGGAGGTGTGCTAGTTCACCTAGTTCAAGGCTAGCCCTAACTCCAAAGACATAACATAAAACATACTAAGGACCAGACCCATTAAGTTTCCACCAACATACTATAGGTGACAGATGAGTTTGAACCTGGCTCCACATCCAAGCTTCCCTCCCCATCAATATGCCACCTGCCTATTGCAAGTCACGCCAACAGCACACAGGAGCAGGATAAGGCAGAGTCCACACTTCTTCCTTGCCATTGCTTACGCTCCCCAGGCTCCAATTCTCTCTACTCACCTGCAGGCAGAGCAGGTGCAGGGGGTCCGTCCAAGGCACAGGTGGGTGCAGGAGGGGAGAAGCTGGGAGGAGAAGGGGATGGCAGCGTCTGGAGATAGGGGAGACACACAGTCATTCCTAGTCTAACCAGCGTTTCCTCTCAGTTGCTCTCCTATTTCTTCTCAATACCAAAAGCAGCCAAATGAGGGCTATGACTGATGTATATTTTAACAGCCAATATGTACTGAATAGTTATTATGTGTTGCCTATTCTGCCAACACTGCATATACAAATATTTATTCAACCTTCGCCACCACCCTGTGAGCTATGTATATTGATGGCTGCTACAGTAGAAGTGAGATTCAGTTTGAGCCATATCTGAATCATGGTCACTTAGCAGAGCATTGGCTAGAACTGGGCTGTTCTGACTCTCCTGCTGTGTCATGACAGAGCAACACAAATCCAAACACTTCTTGAGTACCACAGAGCTAAGGAGTTTACCTAAACACCTCCATGACGGTGAGCGTGCTAAAGGGGCTGTTGTTTTTATTTTATACGTGAAGAAGACAGTTCAGAGAAGTAATCACCCAAGCTCATGCTATAGCAATTTGTACTCAGGCCTATCTTCCTAAAGTCCCCAAACATCTATGAAGGGTGCCTTCATTTCTCTTTTTCTCGCACTAGCCAAAGGACACAGGGAAGCCTAAGCCACCACGGGAGGCAAACCGGGGTAGGAAACTGGACTTTAAGATTGATATGGAGAGCTGGAGAGAGATGGCTCAGTGGTTAAGAGCACTGGCTGCTCTACCAAAGGACCTGAGTTCAAATCCCAGCACCCACATGGCAGCATACAACTGCCTGTAATTCCAGCTTGAGGGGCTCTGATACCCTCACATATATGTAGAGGCAGAATACCACTGTAAATCAATCTTTTTAAAAAGATTAATATGGAGCATTGTTGAGGTGAAAGGGTCAACCCAGGCTAGAGAGGTGGCTCAGAGGTTAAGAGCACTGCTTGCGCTTCCCGAGGTCCTGAGTTCAATTCCCAGCAACCACAGGGTGTCCCACAAACATCTATAGTGAGATCTGGTGCCTTCTTCTGATGTTTAGGTATACATGCAGGCAGAACATTATACACATAATAAAATAAATAAATATTTTTTAAAACAAAAGGAAGAAGAAGAAAGGGTCAACCCAGAGATACTTGGGAACAGAGGGAGAATGAAGTTGCACCTGTTCAGGCTCAGAGAGTTCAGATGGTCCTGGGGGGCCAAGCAGTTCCTCTACTAGCAAGGACGGAAAGACTCCAACATGGCCCCCAAATTCTCCCCTCCAGAAGCCATCATCCACGCCATCTTGAGCCCTGGGCAGCAGGCGGATGAGTGCCCCTTCAGGAAAACTTAGCTCCTCTTCACTCTGTCCAGTGTAGCTGTACAGCGCGCGTGCCAAAAATGCTACAGGAGCCCGGGAGAGACGAAGAAAGGCAGTGAGTGTGGCAAGACACTCCACAACCACCCAGCGACCTCTATCTATACCTGTGGTCCCTGAATCCATAACTTCCTTTTCTTACCTGTGGGCTCCCCTCCTGAGGGATTGTCTCGGCTGTGGCTGCTCTCAGGGAGGGAGAGATCCGGGAAGTTGAGATACCGTTCAGGGACGAAGCCTGCTTCTCCATGCTGGTTCCGAGCCTGCTCGCCCAGCAATGTGAACAGGTATCAGACTTACTCAAAGTCCATGACCTTGGCTCCTCTCCATGCTCGTTTCCAGCATTGCCTGGATGAGTCCCTGGAACCCACACACAAAGTCTTCCCATTGCCCCTCACCCAAGGGTCCCATACTCACCTTAACCCATTCATCAGCATCTCCTTCTTCTATGACCTCCAGCCACTCACCCTCTGTGATAGTCAGCTCATCCTCATGTCCTGCCTGAGCCCCACAGGGAAGGATTCAAGATTTGCCCCACCCCCACCCCTGCTGCCCATCTGAAGTTTCCACACCCATTCACACCTGGTAGCCGAACACTACATGTGCAGGGCAGGGGAGAGGTCTGGTAGCCAGGGCTTGCGGGGCAGGCTCCTCAAAGAGCTCCCCAGCCTCCTCACATTCATCAAAGTCAGAAAGCTCAGTGTCCTCAGCCTGGAGAGAAGTCGAGAACAGACACCGTCTCACCTACTGCAGGTATCTCCCACACCCAACTCTTTTTTCTAAGGGAATCCTCAACCAGTCACCCTGTCTCAAAACCAAAGCCCCATAAGGCAATTAGATGCTTAATATAAAGTTATTTTACCTATATACTGTTTCACCGAAGCTTCAGTATAACCCAGCATTATTTGGTACAACTATATTAAACTCACTTTACTTCTGAAGACACTGAGGCTCACTAAGGGTGAGTCATTTCCCAAGGTCACACGGCTCATAAGTAGCTCATGTGACCTCGTGGAGTAGCTGACACCCAACCTCCAGACTGCTCCCAGAACCACGTTTTTCAATCACCATAGTATAAGTTTATTGAGGATTCTCCATGCCAGAAATTATGAAGGATCACTGAAGCCCTGTGGTACCCCCTCTGAATCAGATAATTGTGATTCCCATTTTAGAGGCTCTGCCTTCTAACAAGGAACTTTAGACTTCCAGGTATGTATGGTCAGAGATGAAAAGGGGACTCACCGTAGGAGAGAGGTCCTTCTGGGACAGCCGAGCTTCACTAAGCCGGCGCTCCTGCTCCACCTCATCCTGGGCTTGGGTCATGGCTGGCTTCAGCCAGTGCTGCACATCTAGGCCAGCCTCCTGCAGCAGGGCCAGCCGGGCAGCGCCTTTCACCTGGCTCACCTGACAGGAGGCGAAACAGAGAAGTGGAACCTGGCTACTTGTGTCTACTCTCTGTTTTCCTCTTCTTCTCTACCACAGTGGAGGGAGGTTGCCCAAGGAGGCAGGATTTCACTGTGGCTCTGAGACCAGCGCTGTGGCTCACCTGCGCCCTTCGGATATTCTCCCTCACTTCCTGTAGCCGCTGGTCTAGCCCTGGAGCTTCTCGCTCTGAGACCTGCTGACGCCTCTGCTCCAGTCGCTGTAGGACCTGGGGAAGATGGCAGAGGCGGGTGGAGATATTGTGGCCCATGCTCTGAGCCTGGTACTTTGCAAGTTGCGTCACCTGCATTGTGTCATCGACGCTCCCTATGAGGCAGGTATTATTATTGGCTCCATTTTAGTGATGAGGAAACCAAAGTCCAGAGAGATGAAATCACTCCTTACCCAGGGTTAGAGAACTCATAAGCAGCAGAAGAGAATACAAAGCCCAGACAGTTTAGTTCCAAAACTAAGCTGTTGCACTCATTACTGCATCATACTGTTGTGTTCAAATTCCTTTCCCTCCCTTCCTGTCTGCCCCATGGTCCCATCTCTCAGCTCTTCTTACCCACAACTAGTACCTGCACCCCCACCTCACCCGATGCCCGTGATGCTGGATCTTGTAGTCCCGCGCAGCCCTGCTCGTCCAGCGCTGAACCTCTTTCTCCAGGCCACTCTCTCCAGCCATGCCTCCTGCTCCCCGCTCCAGGGCACACACCTGAAGGAGACAAGGAATGCTTGAGGAAAAAAAAAAAAAAACCCAAGTCGGTCCTGCTCACCATTTCCTTTTCCTTCTTCATCTTTTTTTTTTTTAATTTCTTTTTTAGATTGATTTCATTATTTCGTGTATGAATGTTTTGCCTGCATATATGTCTGTGCACCACATGCATGCACGGTGCTCAAGGAGGGGGTGAGCCTCCAAGTGTATGTTGGGAATCAAACCCGGATTCTTTGCAAGAACAAGTGCTCTTAACCACTGAGTCAACTCTCCAGCCCTTTCCTTCTTCATCTTGACCTCCAGTGTCAGGGACAAAGAGTAGAGTGAATGCCTTTGTCTGTGGACAAAAGTATGTACTCATGTAGACACAGGCCCAGGAATGGGATCAGAGTGGAATGGCAGAAGTGGAATGAAGAGAACATGGACTGAACAGGGACTGAACTTCCATGTGTTTGTGTTCAGATGGGAGGGAGGTAAATGAGATTTGTCTGAGGCTAAACAGTCACCAAATCAACACTAGGTCAGGGACAATGAGACAAGGGGTCTAAACCACACTTACTTTTAGGTTTGGCCTGTTTCCACAAGCAGGGTGTTCTCACCTGATCAGCCCCTGCTGGCTGGAACTGCTGAGGTGGGGTGGGGGAAAAGACTCCAGGCCCCTGAAGAAACAGCTTCACATCTTGTTCCCAGTTTACCTAGGGTTGGATAAGGTACAGTCACTGGCTTGCCATCCACCCAAACCTGTCCCCAGACCTTCTTGGAAGAAAGAAAGGTGAGAATGGCAATGGTGGGGAAGATGCTGTATGTGAAGAACAGAAAGCATCAACACTCACAGCTCCAGCCCTCACCTGGGAAGTCGCCTTCATCCCATGGCGGGCGTGTTCCAGGACCATCTCTGCAGCTTCCAACTCCGTGTGGCCTAATAAAGTCAGGGGGTCCCTCAAGTATTCTGACAGCTCGCTTACCAGGACCTGGAGAGAACCCCAAGATACCTTAGTACATGAGGTACACATGACCTTCTCCAAGGTCTCTAGTGCAAAGTAGATATTTTATCCATGGATGGGGCATAGACACAAATGATAGGGAAATGAGGGATGGGACATTACTGCTTCTAACCAAACTCTGTCACGTTTAAGCCACTTCCCAGTTTAAGAATGTCCACATCCATTCTCTGTGAACCTCACTGGTGTTCAAATGTTGTGATATGTTGTGATGTGGGCAAACTGGGGTTAACTCTGATAAGGATTATGAAGTCAAATGTCTTGTAGGACACAGTCATCAAGAGTCAGACCCAGAATTCACATATGCATCTTCTAGTCATTCTGAGCACTAGCACTGGCCCGCCTGGGGAGACCAGGAAGGATGGCATCTCCACTCACTGCGGGCAGGAGTGATCTGGATTAGTACTGGCCTTGAGCAGTGCTGGCAGTTCCTCTTGGTAGTAGTGGGCAAGGTGAGCATTGGCGGCCACCAAATTTAGCAGGTACTCATTGCGGGCTGCTCTCAGCTGCTGGGAATACTGAGCTGACTGGGCGGACAGCTAGGAAGTGGAAATCAGAGTCAACAGGGAGCCCTGAACCCTCAGAGTCCCTCCAAAGCCAACCCCAAACCCAGAACCAGAATGGATCTCACCTTATTGAATGTTCACTGCATGTCTGGCACTACACTAAATCCTTCACATATAGCTCTGGCTTAACAACCCTCTCACGGCTGCTGCACATATATAAAAACATACACCGTGCCTTACTGTAGTTTACCAGATCCTACATGAGCTGACTCCTAAAACCTCGCTGACCTTTCTCAAGTGCACATTTCTTGTTTATAGTGGTGTGGCCACACTGGCCTTTCTCTCAGCTCTTTGAACCAAAGTGACTCTCTTCCGTAGCTTCTGCACTCACCATTCCCTCTCCTCAGAATGTTCTTCCCAAAGACCTCGGCATGGCTGCCTCCGACACCAAGGCCACCTGTTCAGTAAGGTCTCCTTCTCAATTGCACCCAATTATTACCCTTCATCACAGTACTTTTATTTGCATTTTCATCTGGTTATTCACATACTCTCATCTCAACCAGGCTGTGAGGATGGAACTCTATTAGTCCTGTTCTTACTGTATTCCCAGAGATGGAATATTGCCTAGCATGTAAAATTACTCAAAAAGCAATTATGAACAACAAAACAAAAAAGGTAATATTTCCACTATACAGATGAAGAAAATGGGGCTCAGAGACACTGAGTGCTTACTGCGTGCCTGATAATAAACCACTAGGAAATTTGGAAGCTTAGGTTCAACCCAATCTCTTACTTTTATGCCACTGGGCCCCAAAACACTAGGCTACTCTACCCTTATATATATATGCCTTTATCCCCCAAACCTTGGTGCTCAGCTTTTGGAGGCTAGTTCGAGAGTGGAAGATCCCATGGTCACTTCGGTTCAGCCTGTGCAGGCAAAAACAGTCAAGAGTCAGGCACAGCTTTGATGCTTTGATTCCACCCCACCTTGGGTGTCCTACTTGGCCATTCAAGTGCCCACCTGGCCTGGACATCAGCTGCCTTCTCCTGTGCCAAGGCCCACACACGCTCTCGCTGCCCATAGAGCTTCCGACTTCTGCTCAGCTCCCTGACAGACTGTAGCACCTCGGCCTGTGCCCGCTGGAGGCTCTCTGTCCCCTAATGGCAAAGATACACAGAATCCTGACCCAAACCACCTTTGATCCTAAGCTGGAGGTTCCTTTTTTCCAGCCACTGAGATGTACCTTTCTAAGCACCTGTTCCTTGGCACTCCTCCCAGTGCCCCCTGCTAGGTCACGGTATCGGTCAGACGCCTGAAGTCGGGTTTGGCCTCCAGCCACGGTGGCATCCAGAAGGCAGCGCCAGGCACCGAACACTGTCCTGCCCCTCCCCAGAGAAGGTCTGTGCTGAAGAAATGCTCCACCATTTCAGGAGACGACCCCCAAACCCAACACCACAGAGCTCCCCCCCCCCCCCCTAGGAGCCCGTCAATCGATCAGCCCATTAGCTAAGCCACAGGATCGCTCATGCCCTTCACCCCCACCCACAGTGTCCCTGCTGGTCAGCTCCTCCGCTGCTGCTGTGTCAGCTCTACCTGCAGCTCACGTGCCTTCCCCAGCTCATTAGGTCTTCATCCCCACAGATCTCTGGGGCTGAGCTCCCCATCACCTCCAACTCTGTGCCACTCACCTGCTGTCTACCTCCCCACTCCGCTGCCCTTCCCTCTTCAGGAATGGCCCGGCCAGCTTCTGGAGTGCCTGGTGAGAAACCATCACAGCGCAGGCCCTTTAGGAAGACTCAAGCCCAACTCAGGGAGAAATTGGAACCAGGGTCTGCAATACCATTCTTTGGATATATAACATATACATTTCCTAAATGCCTTACATTCATTAATTCATTTCATCCTTATAACCTTCTGTGGAGTTTGGTGTTATTATTGCTATTCCCATTTTACAGAGGAAAAAATTGAGGCCAAAAATATTAAGTAACTTCTCCAAGATCACATAGCTAAGGAGGCAGTAGGGCAGGGATCTAAAACAAATCTGGCTGATTCTACATATATGTTCTTTTTTAAATGTCTTAATAAGATCACTTTATTCTAATTAACTCACAAACAAAAACATCAAATAGTTAGTCAGGTATTTGTTATTGACCACAATAAGGGGGTGGAGGCCACTGCTGCCTGTATAAAGGAGGCTAGAACAAGAGGCAAGGTTCAGAGAGGAGTCCATACCTGGCCATACTCCCGTTCAATGGCTGCCCTCTGCTTGCTGTAGGATCTGTGGAGTAGAGGGGGTGGGAGGGGGGTTACTGTTTGTTACTGTTCTCCCACGTCAATTCTCTCCTTGGCCTGAGCAGGAGGAAGAGGGAACCAGCCCAGAGTGTGACTACATCCAGAGGGAGTGGGTCTTGAAAGACAAGAGTCCTTGAGATCACCTCTGGCAGCTACAACACAGGTCAGCTTCACCTTATTGCTCAAAGCCCCAGCAGGAACCTCCCACCCCTGGAGGACCATCTGTGGGTCTGGAGGTGAGAGAACTGATAGGACCTGGCTCCAGCACTTCCAACAGGTCTGGAAGAAGGAGCGGGGTTATATACTAAGCTTTGACTGTGGAGGTGGGGAGCGTGGTGTGGGGCCGGGTGGTTTGAAGGGGCTCTCTGTTGTTGTATGTAGCTCCAGTATCTAAAGGGGCAGGCCTAAGGTGAGGATCATGAATGGGTAGGCCAGAAAGCTCATCCTGACAACGCCCAATCTTGACAGAGGTATGCTGAGCAGAGAGTGGCGCTCGCTCCTACGAGGATGGAGCATGTGAAGGTGAGGGGTCTGGGGCTACCTGATGTCCTCCAGCAGATCCGCCTCCCTCTGTTGCTGGGTCTGAAGGATGCTCAGCTGCTCCAAAAAGCGAAGTTTCACCTCCTGGGCTGGCTTCACCTGTAGGATTAAAAGAGAAAGATGAAGATCCTCTGCCTGGTACCCTACTCCGGCGTGTGTGGGGTACAAAACATCTCACAGGGAGCGGTGAGGGGGCGGGGCCCGAAAGAGGCTGGGCTGTTTCCTCGGTTTCTTCTGTGTTAGGCTTTCATCTCCTTGCCACTCCCTGTGTCCCACCCCGAGTCTAGTGCTCGCGGGCTCCCTCCGCTCCCCCAGAACTCCAGAAATTCCCCTTTCCCGGGCAAATCTCACTTTTCGGGGCGGCGGCTGCATCTCGGCTCCAGCAAAGGCTGGCAGACACTCCACTCCGGAACTCGGGGAGGCCCCGCCCACGACGAGGCTCCGCCCCAGAGTTGGCCCGCTCCGCCCACGCTCGTCAAGCTGCGCGCCCGGCGCGGAAGCACACACGGGCAGTAAAGTAACTGAACCAGTTATTGCTACCAGTACCCCGGAAGGGTCCCGGCCGCGGGGCGGACGCAGCGTGCGCCTGCCGGTCGGAAGAACCTGGAGCTTCTGAGTCAAGACGCCTGGGTTCTATTTCTAGTACAGCCACTGATTCAGCCTGTAATTATTTCTGCTCATTCATTTACATATGCATATCACCAGTCCCTGTGCAAGAAACCAGGTGACCAGGGAAACTGAGTCACTGGACACCTGAGCGAAAATGCCTCTGACAAAGGGAGACACCTTTTCCTAGTCCCCGCAGAACTGGAATTGTTAGCGTGAGAGGGGTAAGAAATACGCCCGGAGCCCGCAGGACCCAGCCCAGAGGAAAAAAGGCAGGTACATCCTGGCCTCCAGTGGACGCTAATGGTATCTGTGAAGGAGTGTGCGGCCTGGAAAGCACCTGTCATCATTCTGGGTCTTCTCTTCAGGCTTTATGCCCCACAATTTACCGTGGTGTGTGAGTGTGAATGTGTGTGTATGTGTGTCAGTGTGTCAGAGGACGATCTTGGGTGTTGATCCTTGCTTTCCACCTTGTTTGACAGTCTCTGTTGTTTTTCTACTGTGCATGCCAGGCTAGCCTGAAGATTCTACCAGCACTGGAATTACGGTGCTGGCGCTACAAGTCCAGCTTTTTTATGGGTTCCAGGAATTTGAATCAGCTCTTCACAGTCATATAGCAACATCTCCCCAGCCCCACAATGAGCTCTTTATTTTATCCAGCAACCCTTCCATCAGTAAAAAATATAAGTTCTATTTCAGAACACATACAAACGAGAGAGAGAGAGAGAGAGAGAGAGAGAGAGAAAGAGAACATTCCTAGTGACCTATTTCTCTCAAATTCCAAAACCACCATCCTACTCCAAGACTTCATTACCAGTTTTCTAGTCTAATATCCAGCTTCCTTGCTTCCAGTGTCTCCCCACAACCTACTGTTTTTACAGTGGCCAGTGATTGAAAAGAGAGTTATAACAACATTCTTTTTAAACATGCTTAAAATGTAATTGCTCCCAAGGAAATGCCTGAAGTCCAAATAGAATACAAGCTACAAGGATATGATGAATGGCCCCTTGCAAAAAGCACTCTCCTCCTGTCATTCTCCAGAGGACAGAGACAAGGCTCCACGCTGTCACCCTCAAAACCCTGAGGACTTCCCCTGGACTTTTGAGAGATCTCAATTCAGTTCAAACCAGGATCTGTGGCTTTGATAATGGAAGGAGTTTCAAGACTCACTGGCATAAAGAAGCAGGGTTGTAAGTTTTATTAAAAAGTAATTAATATAGGTTAAAGCACAAGAGTGAAGAGAAAATCCAACCAGAAGAAAATCAGACATACCCAAGTAAGGATGTGTGTGTGGTATGAGCTTTCCAAGGGAGTGTCGGGATAAGTATGTATGTACCCAGGCATGGGTATGGACTCCTCGAGGGAGAGAAAGCAATGCATTGTCTTAGCACTAGCCATGTATATTTTCTTGGTGGTTCTCAGATTACTTTGTTTTTTGTTTGGTTTAGGTTTTTAATTTTTTCAGAACAGGGTTTCTCTGTGTAGCCTTGGCTATCCTGGACTCACTTTGTAGATCAGGCTGGCCTGGAACTCACAGCCATCTACCTGCCTCTGCCTTCCTGAGTGCTAGGATTAAAGGCATGCCCTACCATACCCCACTTTGTTTTGTTTTTGTTTTTTTTGGGGGGGTTGTTTTTGTTTTTGTTTTTTGAGGCAGGGTTTCTCTGTGTAACCCTGGGTGTCCTGGAACTCACTTTGTAGACCAGGCTGGCGTCAAACTCACAGAGATAGGCCTGCCTCTGCGTGCACCATCATTGCTTCTTAAAGCAATTACACTGCTAAAAAGTTTTCCCCCTTTTCTTTCTATCTCTTTTGGTAAGAGAAATACATGTGGTAACTCAGGAGACAGATGGAATTCTAATACAGTAAACCCAAAAGCCACTGGTGTTGCACAAGGGGTTTATTACATATTCTACCCTTATCATGGGCTTTTTAGTGAAATTCCTAGAAAACTGCAGGTTTACAGCTGAGAGGGAGAAAGGCCTCAAGCAGTTACTTGTACAGCATTCTTGGTGTGCTACTAGGGAAGGTGTTAGTCAGAATCTCTGGTGACGCTTCTCTCTGCTTTCTTGTGTCCTCCCAATTTTCTCTATTTTTTTGTTTTGTTTTGTTTCTAATGATATTTTTTGAGGCAGAGTGTCACTGTGTAGCCTTGGCTGGCCTGGAACTCACTCTGTAGACCAGGCAGCTGGCTTTGAACTCAGAGATCCACCTGCCCCTGCCTTCTGAGTGCTGGGATTAAACGCATGGGCAGCCATTCCGAGCCTACCCCTATCTTTCTGTCTTGCCTCTCTTGCGGCCCACTCTTTGCTCCAGCTGCTGCTATCCGCCCACAGGGCCAGGACCTTTCCCACTGCACAGCTTTCAGGCCTGCTGCCCGCCCTGCTACCCGCCCTCTCCTGCTCCTAGCATTCCCAGCTCCTTGCCTTTGTTTCTGCCCCTCAGAGGCTTTCATTCCCATCCACGGTCCATCTCAGGCAGTTTCTTTGAAGTACTAAACTCACCTGTGCTCTGATTTATGTGTGTATTCTCTGTTTCCTTTCTGCTGGCTCCAGAAGAGCAAGGTCCCTATTTGTTTTGTTCACATTGTGTCATTGAACTTGGCACCAGTTAGGTGCTCAATACATATTTGCTGATGAATGAATGAATGAATGAATGAATGAATGAATGAATGAATGCTGTTAAAAAAAATGAGCCTTTTGGTTCCAGAGTTTATTAATAGTGACCCATTCTTTTTCAGCTCCCCTTTGCCCCAACCCCAATCAGTCATCCAACTCTAGGGCCTCAAGGTAGTTCCAGCACATAGGAAGTAGAATAGCAGATTTGGACAGTGTTCACATCTGTAGCTTCCAAACTTTTACTTTTCTTTAATGCAGTAAAATAATTTTTATGCTCCCAAAACTCTCACTGAACCCCTATATCAAATATATAAATCAAGAGCTGCCCTTATTGAGGGAAAATACTAGGGCTTATAGCTCAGAAAAACAGTTTGATGCTCACTCCCCTCCTTATTTTAGTGACTTCATAGTACAGACAAATGAGCTGGGCCCAGAGAGGGGCCACGAGCTTCCCTGAGATGCACAGTCTCTAGGGATCTCAGTTCAGTGCTCCTTCCATGGTAACATACCGGACTCCAGACTCATCCATCCAGGGCAGAAGACGCTCGCAGCAGTATCTGCCATGGTGACAGCCTGGCCTTTCCTCTGCTTACTTGCTTCCTCAACTGCTGGCCCTAGGGTCATGTGAGGGTCTGGCTGGAGGGTGGATTGGAAGTGCAGGGGTTTTGGGTGGTCAAACTGGGGGTCTGTGTTGGAAGGCTGGTGGGGCTGGGGGTTTGGGGACTGGCAGGCTGGGAAGGACTTTCTGGACTCATGGCAGGCTCTCCCTTCCTCAGGATGAGATTGTTGAGCTCCTGAAGCAGCTGCTCCTCCAGGGATCCCCGTGCCTGAGGACTGCTCTTTGAAGGGGGGCCTGGAGGAGGGTCAGGCGTCCTCTCCTCTTGACCCAACAGGCTTGCTTTGGAGAGGGGGGTTTGATCAAAGGACCTCTGGCTGGTAAGGGGTGTCTCTGACTTGGTTGTCCACTCCCATGTGGAAGAGAAGGAGGTCGTGTCCTTGGTAAGCTCAGGGAAGGCCCCAACCTCCTCATACACTGGCTCTTCATACACAGGCTCCTCCAGCTCATCTTGCTCCTCCACAGACCCCTGGGGTGACTTCATTGGCTGGGTGGAAATGGGACAGCAGAGGATGGGTGCAGTGTTAGAGTGACTATGTTACTAGTTCTTGACCAAGTTCTTCCTTGAATCAGACGTTATAAAATACTTGACCTATATGATGTCACAACAACCTGTACATATATGTACACACATATGGGTCATACTGCAGGAGAGGGAGATGAAGAGGAGTTAAGTTGCCCTGGATCACACAGTAAGGAAATGGTAGTCGGTGAGGCTTGACTTCAGATCTATCTGGCTTCCAAAAGCAGTCCTCTAACCTCTTTTTTTTTTTTTTCTATCTCTCAGCTTTGTAATTACTTTCTCCTTTCATCCTATCACCTCTCATTGTTCATCTTGTCAGATACACATGCATTGATGGCCTGTGTCAGAACAGACACGGAACACACCAGGGTGCAGCCACACTCACGGCTGGCAGACACATGGCTGGAGCAAACACAATACTCACAAAGAACATAGACAAGGTCCTCCGGTTGTGTAGTCGCCGCTGGACACAGGTAGAGCGGGGGATGAGGGGAGGAAGAGACAGAGACAAAGTGAGGCCTGGCAATAGGAGGCATTGGTGGACAACGAGGGCACAAAGAACATGGACAAGAGGGTCGTGGGTAAGTGGGTAGGGCATCTGGCATGCAGGCACATTGTTTCCTCCTACAATACGACAAGGGTAAGGGCAGGAACCAGATATTTAGGACATGACGGGGGGAGAGTCTCACCAGGGTCTGATTGGCAGACAGAAGGCTGGCTCCGCTGTCATCCCCTCGGATGGGCAGCAAGGGCATAGTGCCAAACTTCTGACGAGCAAGGTCAGAAGAGGAGCGACGGCGTAAAACCACCGACTGCTGGTCATCGTGCTGAGGAGACAGTGAGGTGTTGGCACTAGTGGACCTGGGAGGCACTGGGGGTGTGGCTGGCCCCCAGAGCCACCAAAAGCCCAGCCTTCAGCCTCTCCCTTTTCCTCACCTGGGCTTTAAGGATGCTTGTGGTCCAGTCCCACATCTCATCCTCATCAGTGCAGGACAGACAGCTGTGGGCGAACAGAGTGATTCAGGAAAGTAAATGTCCCAG